ATATATATATATATATATATATTTGGTTTCATTTGTTTGTACCTGATAAGTTCCTTTTGCAAGGCAGCGCCTTGTTTGGTCCGTCTATGAGAAGTGGCGCCAAACCCGGTAGTTATACCATAACTATCTATCCCTTTATCCATGCTGTTCATGACCCAGTCACTGCTCGCCTTGACACCGGCACGGGCAGCCTCTGACAACTCCACCTTGACAACCAATTCACGTGTAGCTATAGCGGCAACTTGTGATATGGTCAAGGTCTCGCCACCGAGCTTCACCAACGGCTTCTGATACTCAGCCACCATACGTTTCACTTCATCCAAATGGCTTCCACTAAGTGATTCTGCCACACTACCCCAGTTGAGCGGGTCACGGCTGATGCAGAAAGAGTGATGTTGTAAGCTGTTGCCATTTCCATTCTCAACCATCATATCACTCGCCATAACTTCAAAGACAGTAATAAAATTAAGATTGGATTGCTGGAGGAAAAAGGAGGGATATATAGATTGGATAGGGGAATTGTGGATTTTCCTTTTCCTTCCTGTGAGAAGGGAGAGGAAGGGAAGGTGTATAAATAGGGAGGAAATGGGTGGAAGAAGTCAGTGAGATGGTAGGTGAGCAAACGGAGAGGCAGAAGGAAGATGGCAGGGTTGATTGAGAAATGATCCAAGGGTAGAGAATGGGGACATTGGGGGTTGGCTTGGGGGATTGAGTTTGATTATTGCCGATGAAAGGTGAGGTGGCTGAGGTTAGAGGCAAGGGAAAGTGAGAAAGAGGAAGGCGTGGTTTGTGGGACTGTGGGAGAAGGGGGATTTCGACCATATAGTCACCATGGGTTAGGTTTCGTTGTATCGAATATCGATAGATCATGTCCTTAATTATAGTATTATTTCTTTTTTGATGTGATCAATGTCCTATGCTTATTTCTAAAATATCTACAGGCCATGTCTACATTTTATTTTAACCTATTATCCGAAGGAAATTCGGGGCATGGACGCAGTTGTAATTCACCTAATGAGACTGTGTAAGAATCCCACCAACCCCTTTATTACTTTTCTCCTTTTCCTAGCTGTAATAAATTGACTACGTTAAAAATAAATAATAATAATAATAATAAATCTATTATCTAAAGGATTTTGATTTGTCAAAGTTTGAAAAAAATTAAAAGGCTTTAATTACATTAGCATGTCGATGACAAAGTCGCAATGGAGTTTATACTAAGATCTATGGGACTGCATGCATTATATATGTTTCGATTTTTGAAGCGCTTAACTCATTTATTTTCTTAAACATACAATTTAGAGATTGCATTTTGTGCCCCATATTTCCTAAAAATTAGAGTTAAAATTATCTTCAAATTATGTTATTTTATAAAATATTATAAAAAAAAAGAAAAGGGAAATTAGGGCATTCTAGCATGAAAAGTATCAAGACATCCAAAATAGTTACATAATGAATTTAATAAAATTTGAACCCACATCATACACTACATATTATGTAGTTATTATTAGAAGTTTTTACATTTTTAATGTGTGGACATCTTAATTTTTCTTTTTCTCATAGGAAAATATCAAAAAAAAAAAAATTAATTAATGCTTTAAAAACAAGGTTATTTAGTATTTTAAATAAAAACTTATTAAAATAATATAATTTAAATATAATTTTGTGCTTAATTTTTAAAAGATAAGATAAATGGCACATTTTCAATAAGTTAATTAAAATAAAATACACACACACATATATATATATATATATGTATGTATTGAGAAAGAGATAGATTAGTATTAATCTACCCTACCTCCTAAAATTAGAAGAAAAATAATCTTAAAATTATATGGTTTCAATAAATTCTTACTAGAAAAGACAAAAAGCAATATAATTTATCCTTTAAAATAGGGTATTTTTGTCTTTTTTTCCTTTTGATGAGAGTTTCCTACAATATAATTTTAAGGTGTTTTCCTCCTAATTTATGGGGGCAAACCTCCAAAATATGAGGGTAAGAACAGACCCATTCTTAAAAGAAAAATAAAAGCATGAACAAATTATTCCTTTAAATTCCTTTAAATTGTCGATTAAAACAAATCAAATATTATTTAACATATGATACCATCACATGTTAGGAATCCATTTGTCACTCAAGCTTGTTTTTAAAGGAAGGTTAATGTGCGATAACATCATATGTTAAATACTAAATAATTTATTTTGATCAACAATTTACATGGGTAACTTATCTTTTTTTTTTTTAGGGCAAAATCTATCTCTATTCTTTTATTTAAGGATAAGTTTGAGGGTTTGGCATTTTTATAGGAAATAAAGTGAATGTACACTTTTCCCATTATATAATAATTTATATATGAAAATAATATTTATAAATTAGACATGTAAAAAAATTAATCGGAAGACAATTTAAAATTATAAGATTTTAAAATTA